GAGAGAGAGAGAGAGAGAGAGAGAGAGAGAGAGAGAGAGAGAGAGAGCGAGAGCGAGAGAGAGAGAGACCACGACCACTGGTTTGTGCAGAGCACTGCAGTCTTGTCTCGCCAACTGTTCTGAGGTTGGCACCTGGCCAACTGTGACAGGACTTTCTGGGGCGTCAAGTTGAACACAGCGCGCGCACACACACTCGCTTTCAGACACATGAGGTGATGGAAATGCCATGAATCTGTCAGAGAGGCTGAAATGAGCTTAGTGCCACCAGAAGGGTGTGTGCTCTTCAGCACCGTGTGCACTATAAAATCCCATGGACTATAAAAGCCGATCTGTCGCGCGAAACCGTGTGTGTACGTCTCTGTCTGCACATGCAACAAGCTCTGGAAATATCCCTCTCACACACACACACCATCTGACTTTCTGTGTTTGTTTCTGCAGTCTCTCTTTTCTCTCTTATCTATCTGTTTAGCTCTGTGTGTCTCTGTCGCCGAGTGTTATTACGCAAATCATGATATGTCAAATTGTTACAGCTGATAGTTTTTTCAGAGAAGGTTTTTTTTGCTGGTAAAGCAATCCTTGATACAGCAGCACTGTCACACTTGTTATCAAGTGAAAGACTATTGTCTTTTCAGAGGTTTTCAGAGCAGATCTCAACCGGTGTGTAAAAATGTTTTTGTGCTTAACGTCGGACGTTGACGAGGTCACCATGTACGGTGACCTGCCGCTGGTTGGTGCGTGTTCTTCAGCCACTTCATCCCAGCAGACGGAAGTTAATGCACACTCCCCCTCCGCGGTGCCGGGATTAGGACCCGTTTGTCCGTCCATCTGTCACACATCGCTTGTCGCACATAATTTAGGATTTGGACTAAATTCGTGCCAAGGGCATATCATTATTGACTCGACAATCATGTTGGGTAACATGCAGCCATGCAGCCTTAATGTAAAGTAAAGCTTTGTTAATCACACGCCTGCAGCAGTTTATTGTAGTACTGTCGGAGTTAACTCTTTTAAAGAGCTTAAAGAGTTAAGAGGCTGTGGCGTGCTCAGTCTTAAAGCTGGAGAGAAGATACTATCATATGAAGTCTCCTCTTTACAGACATGCCCGCCTTATGATAATCAGATGCAGTTTTGGGCAAAAACCAGGCAAACACATTCGAGAGACCTTCCGAGCAGTCAGAGGATGAATGGCTCGCCCAGCTATATTGACAAATTCTGAGCAGTTTCCACAACAGAAGCGCCATCCAATCGCCAAACTTGCAATTCTTGCAGAAATCTCCAAATGTAAAAAAAGTTTTCATTCCAAATCACAGCAAGGATTTTTTTCCCCCGCAAGGTCTTGGTGTCTTCATGTGGTATTTTGGAGGGTTTTTGAGCCTTGTTCTCATTCTTGAACGGTCAAAAATCGTAAAACTTTTGCACCAAATCTGTGTCTCAAACAGTATCAACCAGGTGTCAACCTCCGGTTCTGCCAAGTAAAGCCAATGCTGAAGTGCTTTAAACCTGCATTCTCTCTACTGTCCATCAGGGGGCGACTCCTCTGGTTGTATAGAAGTCTATGAGAAAATGACTCTACTTCTCGCTTGATTTATTACCTCAGTAAACATTGTAAACATGAGTTTATGGTCTCAATCTCTAGTTTCAAGTCTTCTTCAATACAGCATGATGTTCATTTAGTAAATGATGGTCCCTACTTCCATCACAATGTTCTAAGCCTTTGTACATTATCACAATCCATTTCAATTAATGAATTGCTGATTGGCAGACTGGTCGTGTGTGCATCTGGCTGGTTCTCCCGTCTTGGCTGAAGAAACTCAGTTTAGCGTTTGGGCCAGTGTCATCATTTTCAAACCGGTTATATCAAGTTCAGCCAAAACACCGAACCGGACCATTTTTTTTTACCTCTGGTGACGCACTTAACTTCATACTCGTCGTCACACACAAGTTATTTTTCTGTTTTTCAACCACACACTCGCTAGTTTCCAGTCGGGCTAGTGGGTCAGAAATCTATTTGCCTGAAATCCGCTTGCCGGAAGTTAATTTTTTCTTGCCCTAATAGATATAGTTTTATTTATTTATTTTATTTATTTGATCGGTACTGAGCATGTGCAACCCTCCACAGAGATAGGAAGCAGGCGAGACGGCTCA